GAACTCTTTCATCTACATGGTCTTCCAGCTGGTCCTAAAGTATAAAATAGACAAATTGTTTGGTGAGAAATATCTGTCTGCTGAAGAAAGTAAACTCTCAAAATGTGTGTAAGACCTTAAAGGGAAAATAACTGTTCGTTTTGGCCTAAGATCTAATATTCCGTTTATTAGATCTTAGTATCCGTTTATTAGATCTTAGTTTTGGCCAAAAAATAAATTTTCCTGGATTAAACAACAATTTTCCAATACTCACCAGTGGTTAATGAATCAATTTCTACATTCAGTTAAGTTAGTCTGTTTTTTTTTCTAAAAAGTTAATTTTTTTACAATAATCTCTTAAGAGATTATAACAGAGTATAGTCATCTATGGAGGTCACATGGTCCGATGACAAGCGCAGATATCAGAATAATAGCTATATATTATAATATATTATATTTCTATGAGTGGTTTACAATGTTTTTCTTGTGAAACATAGATCTCACATGAAGAGTTATTATTCCTTTAATATTACAAACAAGGCAGCAAGGCTCTAAAATATACAGACACAAAGCAGAAAATAATTATACTAGTGAACAATGTTTTTTCTGTTTTGTTTGGTGTAATTTTACATAATGCTCAATAGCAAAATCACCCACAAATTTCTATTTTGTAGTACTGGTAACATGGACATTCAGAATATGCAACCAGGGATTAAGAAAGTATGGGGGAATATGTGTGTGTGTGTGTGTGTGTGTGTGGGGGGGGGGGGATAATTGCTCGGCCACTTTTCTAGAAACCAGTCCAATAATAGTATTACTCATCCAGGGTAAGATCAATTTTGATCTTAAAACCAGAATAAGTCCATGTTAAGACTATTTCTATTACAATTAAGGCCATGTAAGATCATTTGTCATCTGAAATTACAGATTAAGACCATTTCAGGCATACAAGTGAACATCCATGACAGCGCACCTAGAGATGGTGTGAGTTGTGTTTACAGTTCAAGTAGAGACTTTACAAGATAAAGAGCAAGTCCCACCATACCTGTGTCTTCACTGCAAGATATTTACACTGTAGTTACAGCTCTCACTGAATCCATCTACCTAAACTGACTACCTACTCCAGAGTCCAACATCTTCACTGATGAAAATAAAACTAAACACATTCTTAATTCATAATACATAGTGAAATGCAAAAACAAACTGCAGTGGGCTAAGACGAGAGACAACTGGGTCACTGACAAGATAACTGTTATAATTCTGCTGAACACACATTCACAGTCTCTCCCAACCAGTTTACTGTTGAAAAGAGATAACTGCTCTACATAAAACAGTCCGCTACACTCCCCCAAAATGGCTACAGCTCGCGATGACAGAGATGAAGAAGAAAGCCTACGAGCCAAAATAACTGAATATTTTGTCAGCTGTCCATTATGCCTTGAGGAGTACAAAGACCCGACAGATTTACCATGTAAGCACACATTTTGTAAAGGTTGTCTGAAGACTTATATATCTGACTTAACATCAGGAAGTAAATTCCGATGCCCTGTGTGTCAGAAAGAGACTGAAGTTCCTAAAGATGGCCTTGAGGGCTTCACTCACAATTTCTTCATTGAAAGCTTGCAGGACACTGTACTTCAGTCAACACATAAGAAAAAGTGCAGCTCTGGTGTTTTGTTGTCCCAAACCGAAACAGTGGCTACTTCAAAATGTATCACCTGCCATGACTACCTATGTGAGAAGTTTTCTTCTTTCCACTGTGGTAGCAGACTCACTAAAGATCACAGGGTACTCACTTTTCAACAACTTCACAGCAGTGAGTATCAAAAAGAAATCCAAGAGCAGCAGAAGATTATCTGCCCACAGCACAAAGGTGAGATGATACGATACTTTTGTTCAGATTGCAATGTCCCCATTTGTCGTGACTGCAAAGATCTACACCATGATGGTCACAAACTTATCTCCCTTGAAAAAGCTGCAGAGATGGTAAAACCACAACTTCAGACCAAATTCTGTGGCATAGAGAAAAAATTTGAAATGTGTGAGAAAGCAATAGATAAAATTGATGAAATATTGGCAACTCTCCAAGAAAATGAAAACTTTGTTCAGCAGGAAATCAAAGCTCGTGCAGCTCATCTGTGTCAACTGGTAGATCAACGAGAGAAAATCTTACTACAGGAGCTTCATCAAACCACCAGCACTCACAGAAATAATTTACAAATTTCCCGCAAAAACTGCAGTGCTACTTGCTCCTCTATCAAAACCACAACAGATGTAGTAAAGAACATCCTTCAACGTGGTGCCCCCATAGATGTCCTCATGTTACAACACNCTTACTACAGGAGCTTCATCAAACCACCAGCACTCACAGAAATAATTTACAAATTTCCCGCAAAAACTGCAGTGCTACTTGCTCCTCTATCAAAACCACAACAGATGTAGTAAAGAACATCCTTCAACGTGGTGCCCCCATAGATGTCCTCATGTTACAACACCAACATGGACAGAGACTAGATGAGCTACAGTCCACTTCAGCTGTGGATGATATTCCAGAGGAACTAAAACTAACACTCACCACCAACAGAGAAATGGACCAAGAGATATCCAGTGGGGCTGGCCTGGGGAATGTGCAGATATCTAGACAACCAGCTTTGCCCAAGATCAAACCACAGGCTGTATGTATGCTGGAGTTTTACACTGGCTGTAGGGTGCCAGGGGACATTTCAGTGAGTCCAAACAGGGAGTATGTTACTACCCATGGTTGGAAGAACAAGGTCAAGGTTTTTAGTTCAGATGGTACATCAAGGCAAGAGATCACAAGTGTCTCACACACACAACTGAAATGGCCAGAAGGGATCTGTCACTTCCCTGATGGAAGAATGGTTCTATCTGATGTCAACAATAACAAACTGTTCATCCTGTCACCACAGTGGGAAGTACAGCAAACTGTTGATGTCACTGACCCATGTGGTGTGGCTCTCAATAATAACTGCACTACGATTGCTGTGGCACAGGGTTACATAGAAAAGTCTGTGGGTGTGTTCAGTATTGACATCAAAGGGAAAATAACTTTAACTGATGTGACAAAGAACAAAGATGGGGAGCAGTTGTTCAATGAACCATATAACGTGGCATATATGAACAATGGGTGCCTTGTTGTTAGTGATGAAACACCAAACAAACTTCACATCCTAACCCCATCTGGTGACCCACTGTATCAGTACACAGGACCTGATAACAAGTTAGGTCAACCCCTTGGTGTCTGTGTTGACGCATATGACAACATACTGGTCACAGACTGTGATAACCACTGCATACACCTTGTATCCCCAGATGGGAAGTTCATCCAGTACATAGCAACCAGAGCTGATGGACTTTATTACCCATGGGGATGTACCATCAACCAGGATGGAGATCTGGTGGTGACTCAATGGAATGGGAAAGTGAAAGCATTTCAATACTTGGAAAAATGACATTCTTTAAAATGCTAAGAAACTGAACAATATGCACTTTTCTGACATATTTCAAATAATGTAGTATACAAGATAACAAAGCATCCAAATGTAAAAACACAAAGCAAACAAGGCAGCAAAGCAGAAAAAAACTAGAGGATCAGAGAGGCGATACCGCCTCCGAATATTGTACCACCAGCTGGAGCAAGCGCATTCGTATAGACCCCCACATACACAAAATAAGGGACACAGCCACCAGTTTTGTGCTTGACAAGCTGTTAAAATGCAATCCACAACAATTTTTAAACTTTTGCAAAAAATATATATGGTACAATCAAATTTACGTTCTTCGTAATTAATGCACAAAATAGGATACTGTCAATTCTGATGATGCAATAATATACATTATGCTTAAAGATGCATACAAAGTCAATTTTTTGTCACAAAAACCAACCAAATGCAAGCATATAGTTTCAAGTAGTATAACTAAGAGAATTACCAAAAGGCATTGTTTAATTTTACCCGAAAATGATGTTTGAACGGATTTTTCTGTTGGCATTCTAAGCTGTATGTCAATGGGGTAGGAAAGTAGGTCACGAAAGTAGGTTAAATTTACAACCAAAAATTTAAAGATAGGAGCAGTCTAAAGGTCTTTTATGGCTGATTGAGTGATTATTCAGTTTATCCCTTGGCATGTCAAATTTATTTGAGTCATATAAGAATCTAGTAGAAGTGGTTTACATGTGTTACTGGGAATCCACGCTCCACGGATGCTTTAATCCTTTAATCCTAAATCATTCTTGTAAGTTTAAAAAAAATTATAAAAAACAGTTTTCTTTTTATCATAACGTTTGTGATGACAGTGCATGGGTTGGCTTTTTGTCAATTTTGATGCAATATTACATGATTAACTGTATAATTACCACCAATTTTAATTATCTTCTATTAATAACATGAACATTAATGATAAGGCTTATTTCTGCCCTTGTCATGTTGTGCCTAGCTTAATTGTAAAATATATATATATATATATATATATATATATATATATATATATATATATATATATATATATATTACATTTAGTAAAATGTAATTAGTTATTTGTCTATGCCATATTGTTTATGAAATGTTAAGTCATGTTAAAGAATTATATAGATTAAGTATTTTTTGTAACTTTTATATGTTTGTTTGTTACACTATTTATAAATAATGTAACTAATTAATCATAAATTAATTGTTAAGAACTTTATGAACTAATTTATGTAATAACAAGCGTGTTTTAATAATTTATCTATATATCTTTGCATGTATCTTCACCTGCATGTCTATATGTATACATTTTTTAATTTGTTTTCAACAGAAATCATAAAGATTGTTAATGAAATGGGAAGTGAGTATTATAGTAAATATCCTTGGTCAATAACAGATAATATATATATTAAAGGGTTAAATTAAACATCATCAACCGAAAATGCTTAGTTTTACTAATAAAATGAGTAGAGTCTAACTGATATTTTTATTGTATGGTATTAGGGATATATAGGTAAACAAATTGTCAATAAGTAAAATCAATAAGTAAAATATGTTTTGTTACTTCATACAACACATAGATGGTTACTTGTGCTTAGTTTTTGACTGAACTTATTAATAGAAACAGTATATATGTATGCTTAAACATATTTTAATGGACTCAAAAATGTGTGCCTTAAAATAAGGTAATAATTACAAGATGGATGTAATCACAAGTGATTCACCATTGTTAATATTTTCAGATAGATGTATTTAAAGGACAGAAAGAGTATTAATTATAAAGTACCAGCCCGTTAGTTCACTAATATATTATGTTAAATTTTAGTTATATTTACTGGAAGGAATGAATATTATGTAATTTGACTTTTTATTTTATTAATCAATTATCTTTCTTTGCATATACCTGTAATGAGTACTTTTATATAAACAGAATATGATATGATCAAACGAGAAAAGCACTCCGAGAGCGCAGACATCCACCAAGGCAGCAATTTTTGATTATTATTGATTATTGATTGATTATTGATCCAGATCACCACCAAAAATCAATCATCTATTTCTTGGCCCACTTCTGACAATTCCTGAAAATTTTATTAAAATCAGTCCATAACTTTATGAATGTTGATGACAAACAAACAGATAAACAGGGGTGAAAACATTAACTCCTTGTTGGAGGTAATAACTCATCTTTGGGTAAATTTAATTAAGCATGACTTTAATGTTTATTTAAATAAAATGATTTTAAGTTTTGTGATATAAAATTTATTTGGTAACAGATTATTAAATTTTATCTGTGAAAGGTTTGAGGCTTAAAACTTTTTTGAGCTGGAGATTAATTATGATAAGGTTTATTTCAGTTCAAAGCTGAGTGACTGTGGAAATATTCTATTCACACGTACTTGAATGAAGTCAAATGTAAAAGATGTGTTGGCATTCATTAGGTGTGTGTGAAAGTTATCTTCCAGAGTTTCTCAGTGGAAAGTAAAAGAGGTACACGCACACACAAAAAAGTTATTTTAACTACCAACATGTAATAAATATAATTGAAATTGAATAAAGCAACCTTTTTGATTTTGAAAATGAGACAGCAGTTCTGTTTTTTTTTTGACACCGGCATCGATTAGTGAAAGTACATGGCGACACCGGCAACAACAGATGCAGGTGACAGCTAAATGTACAGACACAACACAACTGTGTTTGTACATAAGAAGGTAATCTTAACACTTTTCCTGTTACCTCAACTTAAACCATATCCAAATCTTAAACTGATGAGAAAATTACAACCTATAAATTATTTTTTCATTAATAAAATTTGAGTCGTTTAAATGATGGAGATGGAGACCAATGAATTTCACAAATAATGTTTAAGAAAGCACTTACAATCCAGTTGCTGAGCACAGACAGAGGACAGACAATTAGAGTTGTTCTTGGACCAACACAATGAGTGCGACCATCACTACTGAGGTCCTTGGCACCTGTAATAGTAAATATAATTTACATTGAGCTAAAAACTTATCTGTAACAGATTTGAAGCATTCCTTACATTAGGCTGAAAAAAAGGCGTACAATGCAGATAAAGCAATTATACTATAGCATCATTGACTGCTTAAACAACTTAGATGTCTGGCAAGCCTACTGAAGCTGCTAAACAAAAGTTAATTACCCCCTAGCAGCTTCAGTAGGCATGACGGACATCTAAGCTGCTTGAGCTGAAAGCAATTTAGCAAGGAACCCCTTGGAGATAGATCGATCGATAGTTAGTACGACAGGGTCTGGGAATGGTCCCATATTGTCACTTACCTGGACTTTGATTTTGAATGTTCTCTTTCACATCCACATCTGGTAGAGAATCCTCATCTATCACTGAAAGTAACATTTGAACATATGTCTTTAAACTATTCACTGTGTCAAAATTCAACACCCAATTTAACAGATGACATTCAAGCCAGGACATTTATCATATCAAAACAGAACAATTAGGCCACTTTCTCTGTCCAATATTTAATTTTTATTCTTTTTAAAGGGGGTGGGTGGGTTTTTCATTGACCATCAATTACCTATGGGAGCAGACACCGTGCCTTTCCTCTTCTTACCACTGGAGACGTCAGCATCAAGATCTGGCAACTCAAGACTTGGCAGGGGTGGTAAATTTGGCAAAGGATGGACTGAAATAATGCACATTTCATATAGGTAAAGCATTATATATAGGATACATAAGTAGATCAAGCACTCAACAAGGTGGAAATGCACTTACATTCAATTTGGCTTTAAAAGAGTGGTTCTTACAACTTGGTTCATTCTATTCTATACTCTTCAATCAGCGATGAGCAGCTTTGGCTCCAAAAAAAGTCCAAAATCTGCCAGAAAACTCTCATTACTGTTGTAAGCACCCAAACCAACCGAAAAAGTCAATAACCCGCTGATAGTTATAAAAATCTCATCCCTCTACCATACCTTTGGCACCAGGTATAAAAGGGGCACTCTTCCTCTTCCGTGACTTCTTCAAGCTGAATTCCTGCTTCACTAAGGGAGAGTTACAGGGTTTTTCCTTCTTCAAGGAGTATGGGGTTGTGGCAACTTCAGTCTCCACTCCAACACATGGGGGCACAGGAGATTCTGGTGTGGCTGGTTCTGTCTTTGGCCACTTGGACTGGTCAGTTACATTGGTGGTGTGTCCACTGGACATCTCCACAGGACCTGTACCATGCTTAATAAGTCTGGATTTGTCACCTGTGATTGTTTTGGACACACTGGACAACTGAGGCAGTGGCTGTGGTTGACCAGAAGCAATTTTCTCTGGACGCCAGCTCGGCAGGACGGTTCTCTTGAAGGTGGTGTTGGTCAGCTGGAGGGTGGACACACCTGGCTGGTTCTGGATGATGGTACCTTGACCGTTAGTGACAGGGGTGGAGTGTGTGGCCACAGGGTCCTCGGATCTCACCCTGATATTCTCCAGTCTCACTGTTAATACTGGACCTGTGCCCTGGTGTCTAACAGGCACCAGAGCCAGAGATACCAGATCTGGTTTATGAACTTCTTTATTTTTCTCAGATGATGCGTCTGCCTGGGTTGGAATAGTACCATCTTGCCGTGGTTCCTTGAATTGGATGTTTAAAGTTGATTCTTCTGGGACTTGGCACACTGTATTACCTTCCAAGACAGTGGTTGACTTTCTCCCATGTTTGGCTACAAGAGAATCCAAATATGTGTTATGTGCTGTATAATTTGGGCTAATAAAAAGTGTAAACATCTATTTTTTCTATTATATGCCTTAAAACATACTTACAGTCATAAACTATTTCACTACTGTTTTTTTTTTTTTTCTTGACAAATAGAAAAGTTTAAATATGTCCAACAAGTTTACCTGACTTGGTTAGTATCTGACAGTGGTCATCCTTTTGTTCCACCCCTGAGTCAGTCTGGTGAAGTAGTTTCCTTATATTAGCTGGCACAAATATCTCTTCTTCATCATATCTGGTAGGCTTCTTGATGTTTCTTTTAACATGAATTATATAATATTTAGTCTTATCAATGTTTTACAAAGGGACACTTGGGTGTCATATTGCTTGAATTAGAGATAATTACTGAACAAAATGTTAACCTGTAAAAAGTTTTAAAATACAACTTGTTTCATATACATTTGAACACAGTGATTCCACATCTGAGTTACTCATGCTATGTAAAAATTCAAACAAACTAACAAATAGGTAAAATTTAAATAAATAAATAAATAAATAAAATAACCTTTTGGGTCTGCTCTTGACATTTGGGGATGATGGTTTTGGTGCTGGTGCAGACTTGGATCTTCCTCTTCTCCCCCTGGGTTGGGCAGGCTCGCGGTGAGATCCACTTGATCCCTGCCCTTCAATGACATCACTATCTGCAGCCTGCACTGGTGCTAGTTTGGGGTCATCTGGTGCACAATATGACTTTTCTTGCACATCGGCGTCTTGCTCAGTTTCAGCAATAACCTCACCTACAGTGTCTGCTAGGCCACCTTGTACAGGGTGTGCAGAAATTTCAGTAACAGACTGTGAGACACCTTCACATACAGGGTCTGTAACAACTTCACCATCAGTACGTGGAACAGTTTCAGCACAGACTTTAGTGGCACCTGCAACAACTGTGCTGGTATTGCCATGGGAACCATTCTTATAGGCAGTAGTGGCACCAAGAGTAACTGTAGCATCTCTCACAGTGACTACTTCACTACCTAAAGAAACTGAAGCACCACTTAAAGAGACAGTAGCAGTGTCCACTGAGAAATTATCACCATGTGTTACAGAAGCACCATTTGAGGTTCGGGCACCATTTGAGACAGGGGCACCATCCAAAGACACAGAAGCACCATCTACAATGACTGAGGTGCCATTTAGAGAGAGTTTAGCACCAGTAAGAGAGACAGTGGCATCTAAAGTCTGAGGTAGAGTATTACACTGCTTATTCTGTATTGCTACAACTGTGTTCATTTCTAGTGATGAGTTTTCAGGAGGTGAGTTTGAAAAAGGTTCTACATTCACTGAAGGACTGCTCTTTTTGCCTTTGCCTTTATTCTTTGATGCTGAAAAGTAAAGGCACCTTTGAAGTAAAATACTGAGAGCAAGAGTCAAATATTCTTTATCACATACATTATGCAACTTACCATAGTATCTGACAGTTTCTTGAAGAAAACCCTAAAATTCCTCAAAATGATTTGTTTCTCTACACCATATTCCAAATTTAAACAAAACCAAAGAATAACAAAGTAGCACCATACCTTTGGTCTTCCTTGTGTCCTCAGTGGAACTGTCTGATAGGTACATTATTTCATCCTCACTGTCTGATGTGTACTTCACTGGTTTACCTACATTTCTGAAATACATGGCTTCATCATGGAACAAAACAACTTGATCTTACGCATAAAAAAATGGTATGCAATGGAGTCTATGACAGCAAAAGAACTAAAATGAAAACCATATTCCAAAATGAAACACCGACAAATATTACATTCAATGGCCTAAAACATTCAATTTTGTTCGTTCACCCATGTAAAATAAGCAAATGTGAAAAAGGGAAATATCTGATGAGATTTAAATTACACAGGATAGCTATCTCCGAAATCATTTGAGTACAAAACACTTTCACATTTTCATTATCAATTATACTCATTTCATCTAGCATGAAACATAAAATCAAAGCTACCTTCTTGGTCGTGACCTCACATTAGAAGTGCCCTGTGGTTGGACGGAACCTTTGGGTTTAAACTCCGGGTCCTCCTTTAGTATCATCACTGTACTAGACGCCTTCTGACTCTCTTCTTCTATTAGGGCACAAAAACAAAAAAATCTTCTCATCAACTTTTTCTTTCACCATTAAAGACTTTTTAAGGTATACACTTTTTTATATTTGGCTAATTTATCTTTTTTAAAAGTTAAAAAATCTAACTTGTTACTCTAACTTATAAGATTTTGTTTAAGTGTCAGAAAGTACATTGTTGTGAGTGTCTGCAACCCTTAAATCTTGAAAAGAAAAAAAAGGAGGAGCTTGAAAATTTCAAGTAATAACCATATGTACAAATGTTACTGTGTCTGTACATAAAAAGTGTCTTAGGTATACCTGAGCTGTCTTCATCAGAAACACAATCATCAGAGAGAATCTCCTCATCCTCAGAATTTCCCTCAGGTACCAGCATCACTTCATCTTTATCAGTTTTACCAGAACTGGTGGACATGCCACGCATCTTCAGCTTTTTCTTGATTGTTTTCTTCTCTGTCTTGTACCCCTTGCTCCTGTTGGCTTGGATTCTGGCTTCTTTTTCAAGCTGGGGAGATAATTACAGACTTAAGATTAGCCGACACAAAAGACATCTACTCAGATAGGAATTTAAGATGTAAAACATTGAAAGAAATTCCACCTGTCTTTAAACAAGATTCAGAACCTACTGGCCATCTGTGATCTGTCAATCCAGCATTTTCAAGAGGATCACAACTCAAAATTGAGAGATTGAAGATTTAAGAGTAATTTGCACAGAACCTAGGCTAAGAAATAAACATTACATGTGAACTCAATATTTTATTCTATATAAATGAGAAATTTCAAAGATGTCAACATCACCACAGAAAAATAAATAGTAAATGCCTCAAAACAATTTTAGAGCAATTTACTAGGGAATTATACATGAAATATAACAATTTATATCTTCTATTAAGTTTCAGTGAAAAAAATTAAGCTGATTGCATTTTAAAGGGCTTAAAGAAACTGCCAAAGCAGTCTTGGCAAGTTGCCAACAGATTGGCCGCGTTGGCAGATTTTAAGAGTGATATAAAAGAGACTATGAAAAGAGAAGACCTACCAGATATGGTATCCAGAATAGTCCAAGGACAAAGGTAAAGACAATACGAGATGGGTTTAAAAAAAAAAACTGACAGAAGTGGAAATCAAATTTTAAAATAAGGCGAACAGCCTAGTTGTAAGATACCAGGCTAGCCTCAGTTTAATGTTTTATGTCTAGAAAATGAGAACATTGAAGAAAGTCTCAGGAAAAAATCTAATACAGAATTTCTTTAAGGTGTTAGATTTTCCAAGCAAGGGAATGATAATGGTTGAGAAGAAAAGACTGTCATTATCATCTTCCAAACAGGTACAAACCTCCCATGGAAAAAAATGGTGCAAGCCTGTTACAAATACGCAATAACGTAACGAGATCCTGCGTCAAGACACTTCAACTGAAGCACTTAACATTNTCATTTAAGCCCTCCCTCATTTTTACACTCACAGAATTACAATCAAACATCGACTTAACCAAGGTAAGTCTCGTTTAATTTTAAATTTTTTACTTAACATATTAGCTGAAACATAGCAAATTTAAGTTGAAGTTCAGTTGGCTCTAGTTTTCAGTTTAAAAATAACTTCCATTTTTTGTCATGTTGTTGGTGTGAATGCTCAGATAAAGGGGAAAAAACAATCACATGTATGTATTTGAAAAATGACCATTTTATGAATTTGCCTGAAATTAAAATGAACTTGGTGTTAAAATAATGTTTAATAAACTATATCTGTTCTATGTCAGGAGTACACCAACCAAGATATCCTAAAAGAAAAGCTGGAGACAAAAACTACAAAGACCTAGAGGTGCCAGATGATGATGCCTTTTTGTGTAAGTCAGCAGTTTAAGTGCCTACATAATCCATTTGACAGCACATGAGGACCTTTTATTACTAATTTTTTGAAATTTATTTGTTTGCCATTTCAAAAAAGAATGTACAGGTTATTTATCACAAATGATATAGTATTTTGACTCTTTTTATTTTACTTACAGAAGCACACTATAGTCTTATGCTAGTACATAAATGCTAGATATTTGCAATAAATCAGGCCTGGGAATTTTCCGCCGATTGGCAGAATTCCGACTTTTAAAAGTGAAATAGGTCATTCTTGAGATAGATGCAGGTCCGGTGTAAAAATCGGGGAAGGGGGGGTATGAGTCATACGACGCATGCCGTCTGGAGTCTCTGTCGCAGCTAGACTCGTTATCATCGGTATGATAGTCAGCATGTTGAATATTATTACTGCTCTCACATCAAACTTTAATTGTTACACCTAAGTGACCTTAGATATATGTAAAAAACTTAATATATGTGTCAACTAATAAATCTAGGAGGTAATGGTGCTTACTTCTCTGTTGGTACATGTGCGTTGCAAAAAAGTATGTCAACTTGGGGGGGGGGGGGGGGGAGCACAATTATTCCACTAGGCTTTTTTTCAGACTTTTTCATCAATTGCTGTTCACAGGCCTGAGTATTTAAAGGTGTTGGTAGATTTATAGAAATTTAAATGTAAATGGAATGTTAGTAAGTTACTTTCTGCCTCAGATTGTGATGAGTGTAACATGGAGTATGCAGGAGACTGTCCAGTGCATGGTCCTCTCAATATCATACAAGATGTGCAGGTACATGTACTATAGTTACTTTAACGGTTTGCAGACATTTTGTATTTGGCCAAAACATGACATGTTAAAAAATAATGCTGCATTTTGCAAGAAGTGCAAACACTAATTGTTTGGTAATGTGTGATCAATTAATTGGTGTAAAATTTTAAAAAATATACACTTATGCTTGTTGTTGAAATCTCAACACTTTTGTTGGATGCAGTAAACTACTGGTGGTGACCATGTTTTTTTTTCACAAATTTTGATTTTTTCGTCTTGTATATATATATATATATATATATATATATATATATATATATATATATATATATATATATATACACCTCTTGTATATAGATACACCTAGTAATTTTCCATCTAAATTGATAGGTTCCAGCTGATGGTTCAGATCCAGAGAGAGCAAGGAAAACCCTGCCTCCTTATTTCAACATTTATACGTCACAAATTCCTGATGCAGGTCTTGGAGTTTGGGTCATCAGACAACTCAAAAATAGAACCAGGTTTGGACCTTACGAGGGAGAAATTTCTACAGACACAGCCAAGGCACATGAGTCTGGCTACAGTTGGCAGGTATGTTAAGGCTCTGTTGTTGAAACTGGTATTATGAAATAGCAGGACATACATATTTAATGTGAATGAAATTGTATTCAAATTGTATGATGATAGTTGATTCATTCTCTGTATATTATATTCATTTGTTTGGCATGAAGCAAATAAGGTTGATCAATTGGTACATTTTCATCCATATTAGTCAGTTTTTGCTCTGTCTTTTAAAAAAGCTGTCAAAAGTTTGTTTTTTTTTCCATTATAAATAATGGTGTAGAAAGGAGGAAAATAGATAATTTTATTTTGCTTAAGTAAGCCTTCAAAATTGACAATTACTTTGAATTGATATTGATTCTCTTAATATTTCATAATACTTTAGGTATACAAAGAAGGTCAGCCCAGTCATTTTGTAGATGCTCAGGATCCCTCCATTGCCAACTGGATGCGTTATGTGAATTGTGCAAGAACTGAGAGAGAACAAAATCTTGTTGCATTCCAGTACCATGGTCAGATATATTATAAAACTATCAAACCTATACCTGAAGGCAATGAACTCCTGGTGTGGTATGGGGATGCGTATGCCATGGAACTGGGAATAGACAAAACCAAGCCAGAAAGCAACCTGGATCTGCTCAGGAAGTTAAATGGTAATTTGGTAATTAAACGTAAACTGGACATAAAGTGAAGTTAACTGTGAATAACTACACACCCACTGGCACAAGATTAGATATGTAGATAAGACAATAATATGCGTACATTATCAATACTTTCACAGGAAAATAGTTTTAAAAGATGAGGAAATTATTTAAATAATCACTTCTGTAATTGATGAAATTTTCTCAAAAAAATTCAGTTTGAGATACTTTTTATTCATTAAGATCGTAAACTTGATTTTGTTTTAATATTTCAGTTGAGGTTTATGAATGTGACATATGCGGAAAGCTGTTTGCTGATGATGAATATTTGGTAAAACACCAGAAACACCATCCAGACATGACTGGGAGTAAGAAGTACAAATGTGCATTCTGTAACTACTCCACAAATGAGTTAACTAATCATCAGAAACATCTACTGACCCACACAGGTGAACAACCTCACAAGTGTGAAGTATGTGGGAAAGGTTTCAGTAAGGAATGTAATTTGATCACACACAAACGCATCCACACAGGAGAAAAACCTTACAAGTGCACTGTATGTGGGAAGAGGTTTAATGTGATGTCAAGTTTATACAGACATCAGAGGATCCATGACAACAGTGCAGTGTGTACATGTACTGTGTGTGGTAAACAGTGTAGTTATGCTGGTGACTTGAAGAGACACATGAGAATTCACACTGGAGAGAAACCTTACAAATGTCAATTCTGTGATAAGAGGTTTAACAGAGATTTCATACTGAAGACACACATGAGAATTCACACTGGAGAAAAACCTTACAAATGTCAATTCTGTGATAAGAGGTTTAATAATCTTTCCAGTCTAAAGAGACACATGAGAATCCACACTGGAGAGAAACCTTACAAATGTCAATTCTGTGATAAGAGGTTTAATCAGCTTCCCAGTCTGAAAGGACACTTGAGTGTCCACACTGGAGAAAAACCTTACAAATGTCAGTACTGTGATAGAGGATTTAACTTTAATTATGATATGCAGAAACATATAAGAAAAGTTCATCCTGAAGATGCATGTTGAAGGGGGCAGTTTAATAAATTATACAGTGCATGTCAGTTGAATGAATTTTATTCAAATTTTATTCAATTTATTAATGTAATCACGCAATGTATGCGATGTTTTATAATGTTTATTTTATTGTTAACATTTAAATAGATTTTGCAACCATTGCTTAGATCTACACTGTATTAATTCGTTCAAGAAAAGAGAATGGTGTGCCATTCAAACAGTTTGTTACAAAAAATATTTATATTATTGTTCTTAGAAAATGTTCTTGACTTTGAAGTAAAGTTAATGTTGATATTTAAGTCATTTTGTTGAGAGCTGTTTACGGCTTGTTGAATGTTATCAGATTTTAATAAAGTATTTTAACTTGAATTTTAGTCTCTTATCTATAATTATTCTTTAATTTTATGTTGAACACTAACCTTAAAAATAGTGGTATCCGTGCTGTGAAAAATTTATTTGAAACAGGATTGAAAATAAGTTAACAGTGCGTCTGTTATAAATCTTGGATTCTTCGAAGAGTAAAGCAAGTTTCAGCACAGAGCAGACGACATGTCCAGTGTTCTACTAGGGTGATCTTGAAACTGTTGATAGAGTGATGGCAGTTTCTAATTCACCATTTGCTCGAACTACTGCAATGTTAGCTACAGCGCGGCCGTTTTTTATAAACAAATTTTTTTCTAAATAAAAAAGCGTCAGAGTTAAAACTGTCTGTAAGTCAGTATGAAAACTATTTCTGTTTAATACACACAAATATTTTATTAACAAGATCTGAACAGCAAAACAAAAAGTGTACCATTAGGTTAAAGATAAATCCAGACCTATTTGTATGAACTACGATTTCTCGCGTTGATCATAACGAAATAACTGACACCTCATTCTGTAAACTTACATTTCTAAATATAAAGCAAAACTTAATTAAAATTAAGTAAAAAAAAGTTCCCGGTCGTATCCCGTATCCACACCCCGTCCCTCACCTCTCTCTCTCTCTCTCTCTCTCTCTCTCTCTCTCTATATATATATATATATATATATAGTACATCCCTTATAAAAATTGCCAGTGACTCAAAAACTGCTTTTCGTTTATGACTGGGGACAGAATCTTAAAAAAAAAAAAAAAAAGCAAAAGCATAGCCCTACTTTTCATTTTCAAAGATACATCATCGCTGTTTGGGAGCACTACCGATTCTCTTATGCTCAACGTTGGCAATAATGATACACTGTTAAACATAAAAGAGAGCCGGTCGAACTGGGCGCCACGCCCACAAATTTATACTTTTTCTACGTACAGCTTCAGATTGGGAAAGAGTGGATGCAGTGCAAGTCGCTTTTTGAAGTAATAAAATACTAAGTGTACAAAGAATAGGCTCCATTATTACTATTAGGAAAGTGATAATACAAACGCTTCCGTGAACCGCGCAACTAGCCCGTCGCATTAATTAAGCCCTCTTCCATTGTCTTTGCACTGGACAGCGTCCTTTCTGCGTCCTGTAGTACGGCCCCGTTTGAGAGTAAAATAATAATAATAATAATAATAATAAACTCAAAGTGAACATGTAATTCATAGAATGACTTGTAAGACTACAAAAGCACTCCGAGAGCGCAGACCTCAGCCAAGGCAGCGATTTTTGATTATTATTAATTATTGATTGATTATCCGGATCACCACCAAAAACTAATCTTCTCTTCCTTGGCCCACTTCTGACAGTTCCTGAAAATTTCATTAAAATCGGTCCAAAACTTTTTGAGTTATGTTGATGACAGACGGACAAACAGGGGTGAAAACATTACCTCTTTGGCCGAGGTAATAATAATAATAATAATAATAATAATAATAATAATAATAATAATAATAATAATGATAATAATAATAATTGTTTACGTGCTGACAATTGGCCGATCATTGAGCATTCATCCTGCAACCAAAACACTGCGTGTGCCTCCTTTACGACCACAGCGATGCCAGTTTCATGGTCGCACAAAGCAGGGGCGGATCCAGGATTA